GAGCAGAAGCGCACCCACCTGGGAACAGGTGTCTCTTGCCTTTGGACTGGCAGTGTCGCAGGGATCTGGGACCCTGCTGGCAGGAGATGAAGGTGGCATGGGCCAAGAAGGCTATGGTAGCAGGTCGAGAGAGGAGAGGAGGTCCCAGGGATTCACTGGCTTGGGTGACAAGTGCAGAGAGAAGAAGGAAACAATATTCTTTCCATACGGGTGGATTTAACCTTTTTTTTGGTCTTTTTGTCGATTTGAGACAGGGTCTCGCTCTGCAGTTCAGGCTAGCCTTCAGCTCACTTTGTAGCCCAGACTGATCTCGAACTCCTAAGGATCCTCCTGCTTCAGCCTCCCGAGTGCTGGGATTACTGGCATGTGCCACCACACCTGGCCTTTTGGTTGTTCTGAGACAGGGTCTTTCTTTGTAGTTCAGGCTACCCTTGTATTCAGTATGTAGCCCAGGTTGGCCTTAAACTCACAGTGATCCTCTTGCCTCAGCCTCTTGAGTGCTGGGATGACAGATGCCAGGTTTGGGTTTTTTTCGAGACAGGGTCTCAGTGTGCTGCTCCAGCTAGTCTCAAACTCCTGGACTCAGTGACCTTCCTGCTTCAGCCCCCTTAGAACTAGAGCTACAGGTATATGCCACATTGCTCACCTTAAATTCACATTTTTTCTTTTCTTTTTTTGGGGTGTGTGTGTCAGGAATCGAACTCAGGATCTCATGCTTGCCAGGCAGGCACTCTGCCATTGAACTAAATCCCCGGCCCTACACATTTTTTTTTCTTTAATGAAACAGATATACAATGGTACTTTGGTTCACCAGCTTAATTCTTTCCATGATTCTGGTCACAAACTGAATTGAACTAGAACCAAATCAAATTTCCCCATAAGGTGAACATTGATCTCAACCATTGAATTTGATTTGGGTATAGTCCAATTCGGTTTGTGACCAGAGTTGTGGTAAAAAAAACTTAAGTTCCTGAACCAAGATACCGTGGTACCTTAAATTGTCAAGTAGTGTAAAAAGGCTTATAACAAGCTTGGCAAAAAATAAATAAATAACCCCCCCCCACAAAAAA